AATTCCCCAGCCAGCCTGCTGGGGAATTCTGGGAGTTGGAGTCCACCCAGCTTAAAGCGGCCAAGGTGGAAAAACACTGTTTTAAACGAAAGAGGAATTGCCCTTTGCCACCCTCTCAACGTACGAGAATCAGATTTGGGCGCCTGGGCAGACCCTGCAACCAACCTCCGTTTTCTCTTCTCCAAGCTGCGGCTCCCAGTGCGTGAAGTGCAAGGACGGCTCCCCGGTGGTGGTCCTCCGCGCTGGAGACGCCTTCTGCAAGTAAGTGCGGTGGGGAGAACTTCTGGGTACTCCGGAACAAAGCCCCCCTACCCCGCCGTCCCCGTGCAGACTTTTTCCTTTTCCCGGCAGCTGCTTCCGTGCAGATTTATTCCTGAGCCCTTCTGCTCACCCCGGTCAGCTTCATTCCCGGCCTGCCGAAACGCAGGCCGAGGGTCGTGAACGAACCTGGATTTTTCTCCGCACTGTTGTACGTGTTTTGCAGGGCCTGCTTCAAGGAGTACTTCGTTCACAAGTTCCGTGCCATGCTTGGGAAGAACCGCTGCATTTATCCTGGAGAGAAGGTCCTGTCCGGGTCGTAATCCTTACCGCTTCAGGGCAAGGGAGGTGGGCAGGACGGCAGCTGAAACCAGGAAACACGTTTTATGATATTTCTCCCTACTTTTCTAGGTTCTCCTGGCTTTCTCGGGTGGTCCTACCTCCAGCTCGATGTTGCGGCAGGTGCAAGAGGTCTGTTTGCTCATGACTTCCGAGCAGGAGGGGCAGCCAAATAGCAGAAGCCCCTCGTAGATTAAGTGTGAGGACCCCAGTGAAGTAATTAACGCATCTCAAGTTTTCACACTGAAGCCTGCCTTTCCTCCTTTTCTCAGGGCCTGAACCGAGAAGCAGCAAAGAAGCTTCGCTTCAAACCAGGAATAATCTATATTGATGGTTTGTGTTGGCAGCTCTGTGCCTTCTCGCTGCATTTGGGGCCTGGGTCACTGTGGAGGCAGGTTGTTCAGACTGAAATATTGTGTCCAGGGAAGATGGCCCCTTCCCTGAGTGATGCGGAGGGCTGCTTAGGGAAGTTGATCTTTGGACATACTAACCATTGAGTATTACTGGGGATTGAAAGGTTGAAATCAGGGGCAACTCATCCTTCTAGATCAACAGGCAGTTGCTTTTCTTGAGAAAAAAGATGGAATCTTCCCTTTGGGTTGGGGCACCAGACTGCACAGGGTACCAGTCACTGGCTGCAGGTCCAGCACCGCCCCTGGTTGAGGAAATCATGGTAGGGAACGTTCCCAGGGCTGTAAGAAGAGGTTGCCCTGTTGAAGCCCCCTCGGATTGGCCACCTCGCCTTGCTGACGCTTTCGGTTTTGCTGCGCAGAGGGAGCTGTGTGTGGACGGACCTTGGACGAGCGGGAGAAAACCTGCAGGCAGGTGGAGGCTATCCTGCAAGCTTCAGGGTTTCCCTATCATCTGGTGTTCTTGGAGGAGGTAACTGTGGCTGAGGTTCAGCATCCTCGTAGCAGATGCTTTGGTGGTACGGCATCAACGTTAGCTTTAGCCAGCTGGCTGGTTTGGTTTGGTTTGGTTTGATTTGCCTGCAAGGAAATTGTGCTTTTATTATTTAGTCGATTAAATCAGAGCAGTGTTTCTCCATCTCAGCGACTTTATGGCTGGCTGGGGAATTTTGGGAGTTGTCGTCCACATATCTTAACGTTGCTAAGCTTGGGAAACAGTGGTGTAGGCTTATCATCATCTGCTTGAGGCACCATCCTTCAGGCAGCATTCGACATAGCGTATGCTCTGCGTTCTCTTTCGTAGGTGTTTGACCTTCCTGCTTCTGTCCTGAACTCGCTTTCCCACCGTCCTGCTGACCAGGCTCACAGCTACAAGGAAGCCGTGGCTGATTTCACGAGGTGGCGGCAGCAGTGTGAGAAGAAGGAGGGTGCGGCAACTTCCCTCGAGGACCGGCTGGCAGAGTGTAGCCTGCAAGGCTGTGCATGGAAAGAACGGCTGGCGGTTCTAGACACCAGCTCTTTTCCTGCTTCTCACACAGAACTGTCCCGCCTCTTCGGGGCTGTCAAATCCTTGACTGCAAAAGAGGAGCTTCTGCAGACCCTCCGGTGAGCTCCTTGCCCAGATCCTGGATGAAGATGGTATTGCCAGCAATGTGGGCTGGATGTGTTCTCATCAAGGGTTTCTCTCGAGAACGGAGAACGAAAAAGAAGCACTGCGGGTGTATTTATGCGCTCGTTACCTAGTGCTGTGACATAACGGAGGGTCGTTCGGTCCCAGACCCTGGCTCAGGAAATGGGCTGACACCCTTGGTAGCAGGATGGCTTTGCAAGCTGCCCCTAACTGGACAAAGTGGGTTTCATAGTCGCAAGGCTATTCTGTCCGGTCCTTCTAGGCTGCTGTTTCTAGGAAAACAAAACAATGTTTTGTTGCTTTTCTGGGCCTTGGCTGGATACCGGATTCTTGGCTGGAATGGGAGAAAATCCCTTTGCTTTTCAGGACTCACCTGATCCTACACGTGGCTCGGAGAAATGGATACAGCAAGGTGATGGTGGGAGACAGCTGCACCCGTGTGAGTGTCAAGCTGTTGACCAACCTCTGCCTAGGACGGGGAGCCTTCCTGGCTATGGACACGGTGAGAACAAAGCGGCTTGTGATTCTCCCACCCATGGACGTGGTTTGCTCCATGTTTCGGTTCCCCCAGGAGATTCCTTGCCCCGCTCAGGAGTGGCATCTCCTTTGGCTTAGACCCTTCCATCCTCGCAAGCAGCTGCCCTGAGCTTTGTAAAGCCAGCATTAAACTCAAGTCTGGCCCCTGAAGAGGGAAGGTGCTGATCTAAACTCCTAAAGTTGTGTAAAGTCAAATGGCTAGGACTCCACATTTCACCCAGGATAAGCTCACTGAAGAATATCTTCCAAGCAAACACACGATAACATTGTAGAAGAGCAAGGTCTTGGCGATTTAGGCATCCATCCTATAGCCAGATAAACTGGTTGGAGCCTTACCCCTGTTGATCAGTCTGTTTCCAGAATCCTCCTGTAATGTTGTGGAGCTAGAGTGTTAGTTTCCTGTGACCATTTCAGCCTTTCTAATCTGTTGGGTCTCTGATCCTGCCCTGCTCCTCCTCCCCTTTTTCATTTCTCCTCCCCAAAGGGCTTCTCGGACAGCCGCCACGGCGACATTCTGATCCTGCGCCCGATGCGGGAGTATCCTGCCAAAGAAATTATTTTCTACAACTACCTCTTTGGGGTGCCCACCATCTTCACACCTGGACTGGGCACCAAAGTAAGCAGCTGGTGGGAGACAGCGGAGGGTCCCCTGCCATACTGAGTCCCCTTCGGTGGGTCAGGAGGATCTGGGTGGCAGCTGTGACAGATGTTTTCACCTCTTCTAGGCTTCTGATCGAGCCAGCATCCACCTTCTGATAGAGAGCTTCCTCTGCAAGTTGCAGTCTGAATTTCCCTCCACTGTTAGCACAGTCTACCGGTGAGCGTCCCTCCCCTGGTCTGGTAAAGGATAAAGTGCTTGATGATGATGATCCTACTAAACGCTCAACAGCATTGTCCGCTAGGCACCACTCCCTTCCAACACACTCTTGTGCCCTCTGCAGCTCTGGCTACATGTCCCAGCTTCTGCGGGCAAAAAGAAACTAGCAGGCTAGAGAACGTGCAGGCGTTTGGGCTTGCCTTCTGCAAATCCAGGTCAGCCCTCTGCCTGCGTTTAATAGGAAGAATCCTTCCAGCTGCTGTATGGACTACAAGTGCTCTTTTAAAGCAAGTGGCCTCTAATCCCAAAGGGGGTTCTGTGGCCTCCCTGCACAAGGTGCAGGCAGCTTGAATGGGCCAGGCAGGGGGTGGGCTTCCCCTCCAGCAGTCTCCCTGATGTCCTCTCTGGTCCCTGTTCCAGGACAGGAGAAAAGCTCAGTGCAGCTCCTCGAGAAGTTGACTCGGGTGTGCCAACAGCACCGGCCCAGTGCCTCCTTTGCCTTTGCCCCCTGGACACCAATGTTGGTATGTGGCCCTCTTCGGGGGGAAACTCACTTCTAGATTCATGTTCGGCACCTGCTGGGGATTCTAGAACTGGCAAGAGCTGAAATGCTAGCCAGGACTGCAGCCAGTGTTCCTTGGAGCAACCTGCTCCCAGGAGTTGAAGCGGGGAGGTCTTTCCCTCCCTGTTGCTTTGCCCAATAGGCATGGGGGTAAATGAAAACTTGTTGGTTCAGAAAGGAGAGTTTGCTCGCTGGAGCTGACAAAATCAGGAGACAACTGCCTCCTGGTTTAATGTGACGTCCAGGGGAAACGTCCAGTCCTTGCGCTCTGGATGCTGTGAAGTTCGCTAATGTGCAAAGTATAAAAATTCAGTTTCGGCTGTCAAGACATCTTGCCTCTTGGCCTGAGGACGAGCTTTCAAGGTTTGTAACTCTAGTTTCTTTGCAGAGGACGGATCCTCCTTGCAGTCCATGCTGCTATCAGAGCAGCTCTGCCCGAGGCCGCCAGCTGAGAATTGCTGTGAAACGGGCAGGACCCAGGCAGGCTGTTGCGGGAGACCTCCAGTGGTGGGGTAAGGACCCCCACAAAGCATATAGTGTCGTGTGTGGATGAGGGCCCTTGGTCTCCATAGTCCTCTGTCCCAAATAAATCACTAGTCAGCACTGGTGTAAAGCAGAGCCTGATGTTCTGGCTTCCCCCCCACAGAGACTCCTCCCAGCTTCTCCCGTTGCTCTGCTATGGCTGCCGTCTAACAGTCAAGGAGCTGGTAAGTGTGCAAGGAAAGGTTTGTGCAACCAGAAGAGCTCCTGCATCTGCTGATGCAAAGGTGTGCAGCTGTTCTCAGGACTGGGCCCAAGGCAAGTAGGTAGGCTGAGGACAAACAGCTCTATGGGCTTGAATTAAAATCAGTGCCTTGCATATTTAATCAGTCAGCCCTTCCCCTCAGGTTAAACGTTTCAGTTGGGGGGAGTCTCTGGGGTTCCATCCTGGCTTTTGAGGAACTTCAGGTTGTGCTGTGGGTGACTGTTGGGGTGCCCTGCGATGGTTTTGTGCCCCAGGTTGTGCATAACCTCATCCCCCGCAGGGGCTGCTACTTGTAAAAGTAACAAGGCTGGTGGGTCCTGCTCCACATGCAGGACAGGCTGGTTCTACTCACTCCAACAATTCCTTTGCAGAGTTGCACGGAGTCTCTCCCACCATACATTCACGAGGAGGCTGAGCGCCAGCGATGCAGGTACAGGGCAAAGCCGTTGCCTGGAGGGATTTGTGCGGGAGGAGAGAAACTCCTGAGGAGGAGCATGAGAGATTGTGCTGTTCTCCTCCAGGGCAGCTATACAGCCCAGAGAGACTATGGGGTGCTTGCAGCCATTTTGTTACCACTGCATTGATGTTGTCATGTAGCCTAGTAACAAAACAACTCCAAGAAGAAAAGCAAGCTCAGAGACCCCTGAGGCCCCCTGTCAATTCAGCCTGAGCTACATGCCTTCCGCTGTCGCAGCTGAGATATTAGTGGAAAGGGTAGAATTGGCAAAACAGTGGAAGGGGAGAAAGAATTGTAATAATGGGACACTGCTTGCACTCTTGTGGCTGTTGAGGTCAAGGAGAAAAGGTCAAATCCTTAAGAGTGCATTTGTTCCTGTCCCTGGAACAGGTGGCCATCCAATAGACAAGTGCGTTTCAACCCTGGCAACTTTTAAGACGTGTGGACTTCAACTCCCAGAATTCCCCAGCCAGTTGAAGTCCACACGTCTTAAAAGTTGCCAAGGTTGAAACGCACTTCAGTAGACTCCAGCCGAGCCTGCATCTCCATCGATCCAGAGTCCTAGCATGAGAATGTGGGTATTGGAGAATAGATTAGAAAACGCCAGTAGTATTTCCACAGCTAATTTAAGCTCACCAGTGTCAGTGGTGGGGCGGGCAGGATGTTACTTTTGCTGGCAGTCCGTTAAGGCTCCTCCTCCTCCAACTGTCCATGGAGCCCCATGAACTCTCTCTGGCTATTCAGACAACCCCTAGTCCAGTGTGATACGCAAACTCAGATCTGTGATGACACCCTGTTTCCACTTTGTTTGCAGGGCTGCGATGAAGCAAGAAATCCAGGAGTTCTTGCTCGAAGATGATGCTTAACTCGCATCGGGTGGTTTACGGCCCAGAGGAGTACAAGCCAGGAGGTGCGTGGGAGGACTGTGAATGCTCTTGATGGCCTGACGCTGTTCCATGAGTATTCTTCAAGCAAAGAAATAATTGTGGATTTGACAGTGGCCAGATTGAGCTAAGGAAGGATCCAGATCTTTCAGATGTGCCGTTTGCCACTTCATGCTCCTTGGATGTGCAAGTGAACTGCATTTCTGTTTTTGTACACAGGATTCAAATCTTAAAACATGAAAGGGAGCAGCCTTGCTCATAGAAGCCTTATGGAAGGTCTGAAGGAAAACAGATTCCTTCTTGGCGGTCACCCCCATCCAGACCTCCCAGGACTTCATCTAAATTCCTTCTCTGTCCAAGACTGTTCCAGATCACCTCCAGAGAAGTCAGAGCCCCAGAGCTCCGTTGCTTCACCAGAGGAACTCCTCTCTTTCGATCCCCGAAGCCCACCTTGACTCCCCACTACCTTTTGAAATCACAGCTTTGTTTTTATTATATAGATCTGTATAAATAAAATGACCTCCTATAGAAAAAAATAGTTTGTAGACTCCCTACGGCCCCTTGTTCCCAGCAGCGAGGGCGCTTGCCAAGAGTGGCAGGGAGGGAGGGAGGGAGGGGGCAGCATCTGGACATTTCAGCAGCAGGACAGTGATTCATTTCCAAACGCTTCCTGGTCCCCATGGGAGAAGGAAGCAGGAGTCCAGGACCGGGAGAGGGAGCAGGTGGTATCTTTTGTAAAAAAAAGGGAAATGTGTTTCAAAAAGCGACTGTGTGTCTCCCCCTCTCCCACCGCAGTGGGCTGCAAGTGTGGCTCAGGTTATGGGCTCCCCACCCCCAGAACCTTCAGCAGAAGAGGTGGGGTAGAAAGAGGTGGCGTCCAGGGCCAGCAGCTGGCTAAGTGCACCCTCTGGGCCCCCGCCTCCAAAGGCTGTTCTGGTGGGCGAAGGAGCTCAGCTCCATTCTGGCCGTCCCACCGCCACTCATTCCTTCTCCCGTGTCCACTTGATCATCGTCTCTGGCGAGCGGTACAGGAAGATGAGCTTAGCGTACAGCTCCTCCTCCAACTCAAGTTCTCCCGTCTCCCGAACCAGAAATATGTTGTTGCACAGCTTCAGGATGCGGTCGACGCAGGGCAGCTCCTCAAACATGATCGAGTGGGAGATCTCGCTGAAGAATCCCCGCACGAACTTGCCAATCACCAGCACAATGGAGACGTAGAGACCCATGATCCTGAGCAGAAAAAGAGTCGTACAGTGCTCCTGCATGGCTACCCGAATGCGCGACCCTCCTGCTGTCTTCCCACAGCCTGTTAAAGGCCTCTAGACTCGACGCATTCGCACAATGGACGAAGCTTCAGCAGACTGTGGCTTGGCAGAATCCGCCGTGATTCGAAAGCCTTGATCGCAGGGCTTAGCATGGGGCAAGATCTCAGCTGTTTGCTCATCCAGATGAAATCCCGGGAAGGGACTGGATGACCAAGCTTGCCACTCTGATCTATGCGTGGGGGGGTTACGTCACTTCAAAGTGGGAAAGGAAGCATCGCAATTCTGAACCCCACTGTTTATTTTTAAACAAGCTTTGCAAGGTGGCCGTGCAAGGTGGGAGGGGGATTGGGGAGCATCCCCCCCGCTTTAGGTTGTTATTTGCAAGCTATTGGAATCTGCGCGCAAAGGAAGCGTGGCTCCATTCCACCCACCAAGGGGCAGCATTTAACCATCTTCCAAGCGCTGTCTTAGTGGAACCAGCTGGAGCAAAGCCAGGGGAGCCCAGGGAGCCCCATTCAACTCGGGTGGGGCACTTGGTCTCTTCCTGGGGAGCTTGGGCACAGCTTTTCTGCCACGTCCTTGGATCGGACAGGCCAAGCCAGCCTACCCTTGTGACAACTTGCACAAGCCGCTCTCCCCGCTCAGAACACACCTAGTTTTCACAGGAGTGGAACCGGGCTGGTGGACTCAATCACTCACCCGTATCCTGCCAGGAAACCGAGGCTGGGAGGACTGACTTTGTCGCTGAAGATGACCATGGGGAGGATGTGGCAGTCCGACTGGCAGTCAACCAGCTGGATCATCCACCACTCCAGGAAACTGGTGCTGCTGTTCCCAGGCCGGACCCGCTGCTGTTTCAGCTGCACTTCAACATCCAGGTAGCTCTTCTCCTCGTCTGGAAGAGGAGATGGGGAGAGGGAAGAAGGCGCTGAATAAGACACCAGCTGTTGATCTGGGCGCTGAGGAAGCTCTTCCTCATGAGTTGCTCCCACTTCTTCAGAGTCCTCCCTGCCCCAATCGCACTGGTTTTTAGGAGTGGCATCAAAGGCATATCTATTCATCCGGCCAGTTTAATTGCTTCTGGTGTCCTCATCGTGGCTTTCAAACTATATTAGTTCTTCCTTTTTTAATGGTTCTGCCATTTTAACCTTTCCGTTGCCTGCCTCAATTGCTGTCGGTAGCACGGATTGGGGCCGTCTGGACTTCAAGGGGAGGCTTCCAGCTGGGGCAGACGCAGCTTTCCCAAACCCCACTGGCAGTCCCCCAGGATCCCACAGTTTTGCTGCCAAAATTCAGGAGCAAAATTCCTGACTTTGTGCAATACTATTTTTGGAGCTCTGTTGCAAAAATAAGGGAGAAAGCAGCGATGGTGGGCAAGCCGCTTGTATTTTCACCTTGGAAAACTGCCCTGCCTGGGCCAAAAATTTCTCTGGCATGATTTTGGGTTCTTGGGGAAGGAGGAAACAGCCATTCGCCTCCTGTTCCCCTTCCCACCTTACAAAGCCAGACGAAACCAGCTCCCCCGGCTGTTCCTGTGATGTCCCGCGGGCATTTCTGCTGGGTGGGGGACCTAATTCTGGCCCCCGGCTTGTTTTCCAGCCAGCACCAGGAACCCCCATCAGAAAGAGAAACGGGAACTAAATGGCAACTGTGAGTTTGTGCAAAGGCAGTTTCCACCCGGCGTCCTCACCTGGGAGCAGAGCCTCAACAGGGTCAGCCTCGGGGCCGCTGGGTGCACGTATATAGGGTGGGAAGAGATGGGATATCCGTCTGGAACAAAGACCAAGCAGAGCAGGGTAAAAAATGGCTCTTTCCAGGGAAGTCTGAAAACACAGACTGCATTTGCAGACAATGCAGTTCAACGTCCTAATGCAGTGTGTGAACCTAGACCCATGCAATCAAATGCCCCTGTCCCCACCTTCCTGGCCCCCCAAGCTCACTCTGGCCCACTTGGCAAAGGGTGCCCTGCCAGGAGGGGCGGGGAGAACTCACACAGGGGCATGATGGGTGCCCTGCAGCAGCCCAGCCAAATTCTGCCTCACAACGCTCTTCTGGTCCAGATCCATGGTGTGCTTCTGGGTGGTGTACTCTGTTTTCCCTCCTTTGCGGAGATCCCTGGCGATGGAGGAAGAGGAGAAAGACGAAGGGAAGAGAATTTTAGGAGCAGGATGTATCAAAGAGAAGCAGAAGAAAAGACAGGAGGAGGACAAACGCTCCAGTTCAGGTCCCTCTGTCACCCTCCTTCATCCATGGGCCCCTTTTCCCCTCTGCCCCTAGGAAGGCTCATCTTTAAAATCCAGATGAAGCAAACTTCTGAGTTCCAGGCAAACCATGCTAAGCTAAAAGCTCACATCTGTTGTGAAGCAGGACGAGCACCGCCCTGCAAAAGAGGGTTTCTGGCCATGGACTTTGCGTAGGCTGACCCGGTCCTGATCCCAAGGTACCTTTGGAAATTCCACGTAAAGCGCAGGGTGATGTCTGAGGAACCGTTGTGTAACTCCTGCCAGAGCTGCTCCCGGCTCGGAGGGCTGATACTCCACAGGGATCCTGAGCTGCCCTCGATGCGGGCCCACGCGATGTCCTCGTAGCCATACTGGGTGATGAACTGCATGGCCAGCTGGGGGCAGCAGAGAGGCCAGGGTCAGCATGGCCCAACCCAGCAGCGCCCGCTCAGTCCAAGCCCACCACGCTTTGGCTCCTTCCATGGTAGGAGCACGGAGCAGTAACGTCGATGGGCCAGGGAGAGATGCTCGTCCTCCCACCCACTGGGACAGGGGGAACACCCCCTTCCCCGCCGTTCCGTCCTGCTAGAACTCACCGGCTCCCGTTCAAACTTATTCGTCAACTTTTCATAGTCCTGAGAGGTGAAGGCTTGGATGGACTGCTGCTGAGCGCTCATGGTGAAGAGGGGCTGAAGGAGAAACACGGGGAGGGGTGGAGGGGATCAAGAGTTTCAGTGACACCATCGATCCTCATTCAGGACAGCCTGTCACACACACCCTCAGTTTCAATGGCACGGCTCTCACAGCTGCCTTAGGGGGCCATCAACCAAGAGAGAAGCACCCAAGATGCAGAGTCGCTGGTGGGGACTCAGCCCGCCCAATCCCAGGGTGGTCCTTGGGGGCCTGGAGCTGGCAACGCCCTTGGGCCACAACGGCTATAATAGCTAAATCCAACTGTCCCCCAAAATCAACACGGTCCACTGTCAGGCGACAACTGCCAGCAGCTCCAGCCAGCAGGGCTAGCCGAGAGGGACGCTGGGAATTGTAGTTCCGCAGCATCTGGAAGTCTGGTGGCCTGTTGCTTTGCTCCTCGGCAAGGCAGCTCCTCTTACCTCGTAGCCACCCAACTTGAGGGTGACAGTGACATCGATGGGGTGATTGACCACACCCACCACGGAGCGCACGAGTGACATGAACAGCAGCGGGAACCAGATGATGCAGATGAGGAAGAGGATGATGAGGCCTCCCATGCCGTATTTGACGATCTTCTTCTTTTTCTGACCCTTGGGTTGCGGGTATTTCTGCAGGGTGAGAGGGGCACAGCACCATCAGGTCAGCTCATGGCACCCTAGGCATTGTCCAAAACCCCCATTCTCCCCTTTCAGGTGTGCCGAGCTACGACTCTCATCCTCCTTACTGTTAACAGCTGGAGGCTGTCGTGCTGACTAGAGACTGGGAACTGAAGTGCTGGCTTGGGGGAGAGACCCCTGAAAAGCTTGCTCTTGGAAGCCCAGACCCAGTCACGCTTCCTCCCCCTCCATGGTGGCCCACCTTCTCCGTCTCACGACTGCACTTGATGATGAAGATGTTGGCATAGATATCTTCCACACACATCCAGTTGGAGAGGGACAGGGTGGTGTCAGTCCAGACCCAGTCCATGACAGCCCGCAGCTCCACCAAGAAAGGCACCAGGCGAAACCTGCAGCCAAGAGATGCAGCTTCAGATTCTCCAGGCATGGAGTCTGGTTGTCCCTGGACAATTCTGCAGAACTTTGTGTTGCCACGTTCCCCCAACCGTTGTTCTCCTCTGCTGCTGCTGCTGCA